GTAAACAATGTTTAAAATTCTTATTTCTACTATGACTATTAAACATAATAAATACATACATGTAATTTTTTATTAGATCACAGAAAAAACTTGGACTCATTTTTGTTGCAACTCATTTTCTTTTGGGTATCGAAATGAGTATGGGACAAACTTCATGTTATTCAAAATGATATTGGCTGGAATTTCAGATTTCTAAGTTGGCATCATAAGCAGAGTAATTTTGTATTTCAATTATTGTTTCTAATATTTCAACAACACCAGAAAGATTATTTTGACCAGTACGAATATTTAGAAGTTTTTAAATAAAAATTATTTATTATTATTTACGTAGATAATAATTAATTTCATAAGTTTTTAAATTTACCGCTATTATTTAAGTTGGCAGTACCGTTCCTGTTGTCAAAACACATGTTTTCATTTTTCTAACCTAAAAACATATTTCCTTTATTATTTTATTACGCGATTACAAGCAATTTTTAATCAAATATATTAAGTCTAGCGTGTTATTTACTTCTTTGTAATTATTATATTTCATGTTTTTGTGCAAAATTATTCGTTATTTCACAATATTTTTCCATTTTTCTTTTTCTCAAAATGAAACTTGCCTGTTTCATTTTGATACTTTTACCTTAGAACTCGAAATGAGACAACCAGTTTCATTTTTGTTGCGAATCAAATTGAGTATAGAATCTATACTCAATTTGAATTCAGGTTTTTTCTGTGATAGAATGAGGCATTCCACACGGAAAAAAATTTTCTGGTAATTCTTTAACGTCGATTTAGAGATTTTACATGTTCTTAAATCTGTTAATTCTACAGATATTTTCTGTAAGAATTTAACGCATGCGCGAAAACAATGCAGTGATTCGACTAAGGCTGAGTACGATTGAGTGCGAGAGGTTAAGGCGAATTTAGTGTTTTTATTATTATCATAGTGTCGACAAGAAAGTTTAATTAAAAAGGAAACGTCTTAAGTATATAAACATTATTATAGAAATAAATTATTAGAAATTTTTTATTTTAAAATTAACTGTAGTGATTAAGTGAGAAAAGTCGTTTGTTTCAATTTCTCGACATAAGAAAAATTGGATTTATCATAAGTTTTGAAAACTTGCTCCTCATTTTTTTTGTTAGAAAATTATTGAAGGATGAATTTATTTACATAGAAGTTATACAAATTTATACAATAATGTTCCGCGAATTTAATGTAGGGTAACTGCACCAGTGGTGGATCAATTAAGCCTACTAAATTTATTATTTTGACTTTAAAGGTGTACAGATTTTTTCAGATGAAAAATATAGGGTAATCTTTACAATAGTATGAATTAACAAGTCTTTAAGGACACTATCGTGTAGTTTTCGACCTGCTTGTAACGTTTACACCCCCTCACACCCCCATTCAACAATAAAATGACATTGCTCCAGTCGTGGATCATTTACCTCTTTACACTACACAAAAATAACTTAATGATGTAAATTTTTTTCCAGAAGTATTCTATATGGAAAGAATTGATTACTTTCTACTCTAAAAATTAAAAAAATTTAGACTAAACAATTATTTTTTAAGATTTCATGTGAAAAAGCATAAAATCAACAATTGTTGTATTGCTTTGTTTTCCTAAATATTTTCAAATGATTTTATTTCATAAAACTTATCTATACACCTCCCCTAAACGATTGAAACATTTAGTTCAATTAGAAATAGCTTATTTTAACCTTTTTAACGCTGTTGATCCACCATTGGTGCCTGATCCACCACTGGTGCATTTACCCTATTCGGAGGAGAATATAACCTATAAGAAATACTCTACCAAATATATATTATCCCCATATAGTATACATAATTTGGTCACTCAACAGTTTTTAAGAACTGTAGCTCAATAACTTGTAGAATTAACAGATTTTAATGCCAATGATTCAACATATTTCTCTATTTGGAGAAACATCAGTAGATGGCGCAGGAGTTTCTGTAAATTCTACAGAAAATTTTTTTCCATGCATTCCAAAATGACCCCCCCCCCTAGCAAACAATTTCCAGTATATGAGACAATTTTTAAAATATAATTATTTCTCCAGTACATATTAAAATCAAATTATTTTCGTTATTAGCAGTTTTTAAAGAGAAAGTTCTAAACTTTAGAATGATAAAAAGAATTTTTGTTTAAATTATGTATAATTTATATAAAGTAGGGATCAGCAAAATATCACGCTGCATGTTAATCGTTAACCTCTTCGCAGTCCAGTAAAAATGAAGTTTTTGTGCCATCAATTTTAAACTTTATAGTCAGCCATATTGGATTCGCCATTTTGAATTTTTTATTTTTGACTTCAGATTTGAATTCAGCGACCCCAAAACCCCCCGAGTAAGCATTTTCAGCTGGATTTGTTAACTTTTGAATGATTTTTTTTATGCTGCTATAGCAGTCAGTGACATACAGGGCACAACTTTTTTGTGCTGCTATAGAGATCAGTGACAGTGAAGGGGTTAATGGAAAAAACATCACAAGGGGGAGGGGGGGTGTTAAAATTTTGAAAAAATGTATCACATGCTTTATGAATGACCCCAAAGAAAGTTTAAATATTCTAGTTTTCATTTGAAGCATTCTATCTCAAACCGTTCCACCTTCAAAAGACGATCGTTACCAGATAGTTTTTTAATGTTAATTTTTTTCTATAAAAAATAAATGATTTATATAATGTTACACACTATTTCGAAAGAAAATTTAACAACCTTTCGATTGATCTTAACATTTTTTTTTTTAATTTCTCACAATTTCATAAAGAAATTCCGTTTTAAAATATTAAACGCACACTTGATATTTTGATTGATTATAAACACTCACGAATTTCATCAGAATTCTTATTAAACAGAATTTCGTTTGAGTCGAAATTTGAAATGCCAAAAATTTTCATTAAATCAAATCTTCATTGGTCCGAATTTTTATTAACACGAAATGTCATTTAATGAAAATCTTAAAACTCAGAATGTTTATTTATCCTGCATTGCAAATGGTCGAATAATCAAAAATGGAAGACATATTTTGGCGTCAATTTTAAAACTGACCATCAGAAACTGTTAAGAAAATTATGTAATTGGCCAATTTTAAAATTGGCGCCGAAATATTTCTGCAGTTTAATTATCCGACCATTTACAATGTATATAGGATAAATAAAAATTCTGAGTTTTAAGATTTCTATATTAAATGACAATTCATGTTAATGAAAATTCGGACAAATAAAGATTTGGTTTATAATGAAAATTCTGGCATTTCAAAATTTGACTCAGACGAAATTTTATTTAATAAGAATTCTGATAAAGTTCGTGTTATAAGGGACGTTTATCCACGGAAATGCAGACCTTTATGAAAAAATAATTATAATTAACATTTAAATAATTAAAATAATATTGTTAATTGCACTTTCTGAAAGATGAGATATCAATTTTCAAGAAAAAAATTTAAAACCTATAAAATTTATTTATTTATACAATTTGCATGGGGTAAAATTTTTTTTTGTTATATCGCTTCTGCAAAATTTTTTTAAAAATGATTCGATTTCACTGTAATATGGCTTATTTTCTTCAGAAAAGAAAATTCTCTACAACTTCACTGTGGGGATTTTTAAACAAGCAAGCCGTTTGAAAAATATGACTATTTGTTTAAAAGAAAAATTTAGATTTTTTTTTAAACAAATAGCCATATTTTCCAAACGGCTTGCTTGTTTAAAAATCCCCACAGTGAAGTTGTAGAGAATTATTTTCTGAAGAAAATAAGCCATATTACATTGAAATCGAATCATTTTTAAAAAAATTTTGTAGAAGCGAAATAACAAAAAAAATTTACCCCATGCAAAATTGTATAAACAAATAAATTTTGTAGGTTTTTTTTTTTTATTTAATTCTGTTAAATAAAAATTTGAGTACATAGAAATTCTATTAAGTATAAATTCTGATTAATTTAAATTCTATTAAAACATATTAATTCGAAAAATATAAATTCGAATAAAAAGTAAAATTCTATCTATATATAATAAAATGCTATAAAATAAAAATTCTAATTCATATTATGGAATAATCATCATGCACCCCTAAAAATATCTCAAAATTTTCAATTTGCAATGAAATGCCTCATATTTTTATTTTAATATAAAAATACAAAAAAAGAATTAAATCAGAAAATCAAAAACTAGTAAAAATATTTCTCAATATAAGTCGTATATATATATAACAATATTTTCTGAATCACAAAAAAAAACCTATTGTATTCTTATAAGAACCAAATTGAATAGAAGAGACCCAAATTGAATAATGAACAGAAGGTATAGTGCGCATGAAGTGGAGAGTTTCTAACATTCAAGGTAAATTGGCACGTGCTATTCATTCATCCGGTTGTCATGAATACATTTACCTGCTTATAATACACAAAAACTATTCGATTTTTTTTTTTTTTAATTTTTTTAATTTTAAAACAAGATACGTATTTTTTTTTTTGCATAACACCGTAAAAATGGAAACGTAAAAAAAAAATAAGACACTGTATATCGAGAAAAGAAACGTATATACGTAATTCCATCGGTCAATGAACTAACCAATTTTTCTAGTGCACGCGATATCATGTTTTGTATGTATATATGTAACTAGACTTGTAGAGACAATGAATTTAAACTCACTATCGAGATTTAAAACATATAAACGCCTTGAAATTTTTTCAAGTGAACTTATAGATTCCCGGTACATCGTGTATGTAGAATGCGCGTGCCAAGTTATTTCTCTCTAGTTGTCATTCCTGCACACGTCTCTGTTTCTCTCTCTCTCTATCTCTATCTCTGTGACTCTGTAGGCGTAGATGCTTAATGGTAGGTACAGACAGTCGGCGCACACATGACATATTTGTCCATGAAAGAAACAAATACGTCCTACAGAGGGACAGAGGAGAGTTTGGCCCGCTCTCAACATAGTCATTGCCTTTCACGATCTGTATCATCATCACACAATGGCTTACCGGTGAGGTGAGAGGATAGACGATACGAGTTGGCAGCGGCTAAACAACAGTATAGTAGACGTGGCAACGAGGTTCTTTCTTGGCTCGTAGAGTTTAAATATTGGGATGCAATGTACAAGAGGTGGCAACACCGCCGCAACGTCGACCGCCTCAAGGCCCGCGATACGAAGCCCGTTGGTCGTTGCTGTTGCTGTTCGAATGCGATCCGATACCTGGCAAGGACGTACCATTACGTTCACGCTTCCCACGCACGAACTAACATTATGACAACGCAATCGCCTGTCGGTGGATATACATATACACATACACATACATAAACCTCGTATTTCCAAGTTTTACTCTCCTCTCTTCCTCATTTATTTCCTCTTTTTTTTATTTTTTCTATCACAAATTCATTTTTCTAATATTAAACTGATTCTATTTTCAATAATTTTGATAATGTACTTACGTGTTTTTGTTGTAATAATTGTGTCCAAAGTACGCGACCGTAAAGATAGTTTTTCGGTTTAGTACAGTGCGATTGTACGACACTGTACGGAAACGAAGAGAAGACACGGTTGTCAGTATCGACCCCGCCTAAACCCCGCCTCGCTTTCACGAAACCTCACGAACATTCACGAACTCTCTCGATTCTACTTTATGCTACGTTTTCTTCTTTCAACCTCCACCTATATTCCACCTCTTTATTCTTCGCCCTTTCCTTTTTTTTTTTCGATGATGAATTTCGTCCCTTTTTGCAACTGCGTGTATGTGTGTGTGTAAAATGTTATATATATTGTCCCTTGTCGCCCACCTGAGAAAAAAAAAAAAAGTTGATGTACTATCGAGAATCTATTGTAATTGTTATTATACTTTTATTGGGAATGATGTATATATATATATAAGTTATAATTGTTAGTATAGTGTCTAAAATGATAGATTACAAAACAGAACTAATTAAGGGATGAAGAGGGTATAACCTTAAAAATTCAGCTTTTTGGATTTTAAAATATAATCAACTGGGACTGGGTCATATCTAAAGTACCCCTGAGCAATTCAAAGGCATTTTATGAGGTCTTTTTATACCTCGTAAAATGGAAGTGAACTGTTTTTAAAAGACTTGCAGATTTATGTAAAAAAAAAAGCCAACAAGGATACATTTTTAGGGGTATTCATCAATAATTGTGTAGGATTAATATAAAAAAAATTTTTGAATGTTTTTAAATGTATACTGTAAAATGAAGGAAGAAAAATATGGTATATAGAATACCTCCATTATAGGGTTTATTTCAATATGTCTAATAGATATCATATACTGCAAAAAGATGTACTTGGTTGCGTTTTTAAGACATTATAAGATGTTTAAGATGTCTTGAAAACGCTACCAAAACATCTTAAAATAAGATACTTCTTTTTGCAGTGCATTTTTTTAATTTTAACCCACCCCCTCCCCTCATGTAGCAGACTGTTCTATACATTAGCGCCATTTTTTCCTGTTGTAGCAAATAACATGACTCCCCCCCCTTCCCCTTGAAGAGATGCGTAAATATATATAGTGTACATATGGATGACCACTTATCAGAAAGTACTCTCTAATTCTGAATAAGTGAAATATTCATTTGATGTCAGATTAGTCACTAAATTCCTGCCATTTGAATCAGTTAAATTTTACTATGATCTTCGGTAAAAATCACAAATTCATTACTAAAATGTTACTGTTTGTCAGTGAAAACCACTAATTCAAATATAGTTGGAATTTAGCAATTTATTTGACATCAGTGACTTTTTCACTAATTCAAATTTAGAGTGCTTATATATATAGTTAAAAGAGCTAAGAATGTAGTTGATGAAATGAGATATTGTAGTTGTTTCATTTTATGTAGTTGATTTATATATTTTTAAGTAAAATTATCTGCTAATTGTTAATTCCATAAAAACTTAAACATCTTAATGTCTTAAGGGTTCATACCACTTTGTCAACTTCAAAAAATCGATTTTTTTTTACGGATTTCGAAAGAAGGACATTCCAGGAATGTTGTGTAAAAATTGCAGAAAGATCTGAGCAGTGTAAGTATATTTTTTACGATTTTATTTGAGAGCGTACATTGGCGCCTGTTACTCATACGAAACTTTAAATTCGTTTTTCTCAAAACAACATTTTTTCATACCGCGGGATGTTTTTCTCGGAAACTACTGGACCGATTCTCAACATTTTTTTACGAAAATCTTCGTCACATAAGTGGGTATCGCCGGAACTAGAATTATGAAAAAATATTCATTTTTACTTTTCTTTAAACCCTAAAACTGCCAAAAAAAACCTTCATTTTCGAAAAAAAATTTTTAAATAGCCGCCATTTTGTCATTTTTGCATAAAAATTAAAAATTCTAGTTCGGGCGATAGGTGCAGTCCTACTGAAGATAAATCAACTTGAATTTTGTGTTTTAGATTTTTCTAACCTGAGAAATCAATCCCGCAGCTGGCATCGGTATTTTTAGCAGGTCTAAAATTATTGTTAAATTATATATAAACAAATAATATTTTTTGAATAAAATGAGGTTTTTTATAAAGTTAAAGAGTGTATTTATTGAACCAAAAAAAAATGCAGATCAATATAATCCTTAGGAATCGTAAAAAAAATTATAGAAAATAGCTTCATTTTCAAGCGTGTAAAGTGGTATGAACCCTTAAAAACGCTATCAAAACATCTCCCTAACAGTATCCGGATATTCAAGATATCCTATGGACGTCCTAGGGATATCCGGAAATAGAAAATCCATAGGATGTCCCAGAGATATCCGGAGGACATCTTAAAGATATCCAAATTTCCGAATACGACTAGGACGTTCATAGAATATCCTGTAATATCCGTTACTGTTAGCACAGAAAATTAAAAGGCATTAAAATAATCTGCAACGCTTATTATTTTAATCCAATTTTGCTTATTTTAATACCAAAATGGATTAAAATAAGCAAAATTGGATTAAAATAAGAAGCGTTGCAGCTTATTTTAATGCCTTTTAATTTTCTGTGAGGGCTTAAAATAAAATACTTCTTTTTACAGTGAAATAGTTAAATTAATTACACACACAGAGTTAAACTAATTACATTCAAGGTGTTTAACGGTCAGGGAAAGTCAGGGAATTTTGTTGGTCAAGGAAATGTCAGGGAATTTCAGAAAATTTGATTCAAAGTCAGGTAAATTTCTACAAAAATTAAAATTTTTTGTGAATGTAAAAATTTTTAAATCTAAAAAAACTTGAATGGTTTTTATTACCATTTGTTACTACCATTAGAAATTAATTTATTGGTAAATATGTCAGTAATCATATTTTTGTCCAAAAAAAAGCAGAAATAAGGTTATTAAAAAGTCAGGGAAAAATCAAAAAATATCAGGGAGGATCTTTTTCTCAATCTTTGTTAGACACCCTGACATTAAAAAAAAGTTCTAATTTTACTAGATGAAGTATTTTTCTCAATGTAAAAAAGTTAGTTACTTTCATTTTCATCAGTCGCAACTATATATAATAGTTAAATTTTTCAGCCTAAAAGGTATATATCTTTCATCTTAGATTAAGAAGTTTTTAAAAGTATCTTACTATATATAATGTTTAAAATGCTTTAAGTCTTTTATAACACACGAAAAAAGGAATTGCTTACAGATGATGTTATAACTAATGTTTGCTATCAGATCTATATCACAATTAGTAACCACAGTTAAATTTTTTGCAATGACAACGAAAAATTTTGCTGTGATAAACAATATCAGTTTTAATAATTTTTAAAAAAATTTACTGTCTCAGCAAACTTTTTGGATCCCATAACAAATTTGTTCGCTGTCCCTATATTTATAGCTATAACGTAATTTGCAGCATATAGTTTGCTGTCACAGCAAACTTTTTCTATGCGTGCAGGAATTAAGATATTTTGGTAGTCATTTTTTTTTAGTTATTTTAAATATCTTATAGTTAAATATGTTAATAGATATATATCTTTGATAAAATGCTTCATATATTTTTGATGAAAAAAATTTTGCGGTTAACTGTGATCTGTTATGTAAGATACTATAAGATACATATATGTATTTTATTGTATTTTAATAACTTACATTTTAATGTACACTGTAAAAGAAAGTATCTTATTTTAAGATGTTTTGGTAGCGTTTTTAAGACATTAAGATGTTTAAGATGTCTTGATTTCTTGAAAACGCTACCAAAACATCTTAAAATAAGATACTTCTTTTTGCAGTGTAAATTAGTTACTTATTTGTGACGCTCCGCGACAAAAGGTATAATATATATACCTAAGCTCCTAAAATTTTTAGGTTATATTTGATTTTTGAAGTGAAAATACCATAAAAAGAGGGTCAACTCTTATATACAAACTATTAATTTTTAAATCTATACATCTAAAATATTCAATAAAATCACAATTTAAGAATCTTTCCGAAGTAACTGATGACATTCTATAAGATTCGCGAAAGAAATATTTTAATTTTTGATAAAACGTATAAAATGTATATCTTAGAAATTAATAAAATACTTTACAAAATATCTTATTCTATATATATATATAAAATATAGAAGATATCATTTTTAAAATATATATGTATACGCACTATTATTATCAAGATACTATTAAATATCTTAAAGTAAGATATTTCAAATAACTATTATATAACATATATACGTATACCTAACACTATCCAAGTGCCAATTATACGGATTGACTTTGGCCTACGATTTTCTTTTAGAGAATTGAAAAATATTTGACACATATTTTTTTGTTTTGTCAGAGAAGATGTTTTGAAGGTTGAAAAGTAAATTTTATAACTTAATAACACCTGACATCAACAATTTTTGGTGATATTACATTTATGTGTTTTAAAAAAATAAACAACATATTGTGTTGAAGGTATAAGTTTTCTTCAGGTCTTAGAATATATGTTTTTTTCAATTCTATAGAGAAATTGCAGAGTTCAAAATTTTAAGATTTTTTTTGTAATAACAACTGAAATATCAACAAAAAAATTGTTAATTTCAGGTGTTATTAAGTTATAAAATTGGCTTTTTAACACTTAAAACATAACAGTAAAAAGAAAATCTTATTTTAAGATATGAGTCTTAAAATTAGCACAACTTGTTTTAATGGAAAGTATATGCATTGCGTAAAATTCAGCAAAGACTGCCTTAAAAATGTTGCATCTTAAAATGAGGCACTTTTTATGCCTTAAAATAAGACTTCCTTTTAACTGCGTGATATATATATATATTAACTCTGACCAAATAAAAAAAACGTGTCAAATATTTTTCGATTCTCTGAAAAGAAAATTGTAGGCCGAAGTCGATCCGTGATTGACACTTGGGACAATGGTGAACTTTAATCAACGCA